GTGGTGGTGTCTGAAGTATTGACTTGAATACAGTAAATAGCAAAGTTCCTTTTCACTTTAATCAATTTATGGGACAGACTCGCAGGAAAAGCTCCCATGTTAATGCAGAGTTGATTCTACCTCAAAAGGATCTGAATTTAACATAATGCCCTGATAATTACAAACTAACCCTATTCCTGATGAAGATATTCCCTGACTGATCCCCTATTTGGTTGATCATCTCTGTTTTTCCACCTCCCCATCCTTCCTTTTGCACACGTAGACATCCTCTCTCTCTCTCTAGGGCTCTCCACAAGTAAACCAAATCATGCTGACCAGTACTAATTTACATGCATTTGGGAACCACTAATACAATTAAAAACCATGGCCACAGTCATCCCCCACCCCAACCCTGCCCCGGAGGCAATTTTTAAAAAACATTATTAATCCTTGTATTTGGCCTTCACTGTATCTTCCTGCCAATGTAATGACAGTACAATTGGCCTCAGCATCTGTGCTCAGTAAGTGAAATCAACAAAATACTCAAACTTGGTTCCATTATGATGCTGATGTTTGCTGTCAAAGCACACCCATGATAAATGGCCACCCGATAAGTCGAGGGTTGTCTCATCTCTTTAAGCAGTATGGGAGAGTACCTTCAGGAGAGAAAAGGAGAAAAAAATCATATTGCCTCGTCACCAGTATTGCCACACTTAGGTATTGTAGGATTAGAACAATGGTTACATAGTGTTTAAAAATCTAAGTGCAAAGTTGTGTTTTGTAAATGCAAATGTATTGTCCAATAACTAGATTTGTCTCAAGAAAATCTGCAATGGGACAACTGCCAAAATAAAACAGCTTGCCTGTATCTTGTAAGGATCTGTGGGCATACTGCCAGCATGCTTTAACTTACATCTATTCATATTTATAAATCATCTTTCATGTAATAGAATATTTCAAAGCACTTCACAAATGTCGAGCACACCAAGCAGCGAATTGACATTTAAGCCTAGTGACCAAAACAGTCAATCAGTCAAAAGGCTCAGCCACCAATAGGGTAGTGAACGGGGTGAGGCACAAGCAATAGGTTTGAAGAGGGTAGGTAGTCGAGTGGAGGTCTGGAGAATACATAACTACATAAGACTGCAGAGAGCTTTGAAGACCATGATCCTCTGAGGCACTAGGAGCTTTACCACCCAATGTGAAAGGCCTATATAAATGCAATTTTTTTGTTGTTGTTAACTTGGAAATAGCTATGGTACTTTGTGCTGGAGAGAACTTGGTTTGTAGAGTTTTGTATCAGTTGCAACCTCTGAAGATTGGGCATGTTGGGAGGGAGAAGATTTCTCTTTCCACGACCCTTTTTCTTGTCTTTCCCCTTTCTTTCTCTTCCCCTCTCAAACACCCTCATGCACATGGACGTTTTTTCTCTCCACTTGTGCCCCACTCTCTTTCTCTCCCCTGTGCCCCTCCTCCTCATTTCCCTGAGCCCTTACCTTTCTCTAACCCATAGCCAGCCCCCTCTTTCCCATCTTTAAATTAAGTAGTTAATTTATGTCAATAAAAATGTAAAGAAATCATCATTTTGAGGAATATTACAAATTGCATCTTCCTAAATGCTTGGGGCATACAATAAAGCCTGCTAGCAAAGTGACTTATTTGGCTGTTCTGATGTGCAAGTTTCAAGCCAAATTCTGATTCTTTCATGTCTAAGTTTAGAATAACCCCTACCCTGAGCCTGATCTTAAACAGGGAGAACTGAAATAATTACCATTAGGTTGAGGTACACGTTGTGGTCTTGGTTTCTCATGACCTTCAATAGAGCACAAATAAAATGAGAAAACGTCATACATGTTGGTACACAGGCATTTAGCATGCCTAAAGAGGGGTTGGATGCTGAACTTCCTACTTGGCAAAATTGAGTATTCGTCTCAACTATCTTTGAACTTGTTGCCGTATTTTGTGCTTTCATCTGACTTGCTGTCCAGCGCCTTGGGACATCCTCCCGACGTGAAAGGCGCTCTATAAATGGAATCTTGTTGTTGTTGCTAAACTGAACACTCAATAATGGTATAGAGGTCTGCCTTGGGGTCAAAGAAAAATTATGCCACACCTACCCTAGCTACTGAGAAGACTAAATCAGGCCATTTCCATCTCTCCCTCTTGCAGATGGAAAGCGGATAGCTTCAGTGGAAGGGAGGAAAGGAGTAAAAGGGGGGGAAAGCAAATATGGAGAAATATGTTATGTTTTGCTTACTTGAAATCTTCTCAACTTTCCATGTGTCCAGTTAGAAGAAAGGTGGTTTACTCCATCAGGTCTGGCCTCCTCCTTGTCCCGCAAATCCTCCGCTCCACCCTCGGTGGCCATGCCTTCAGCCACAACGTCCCGAGGCTCTGGAACTCCCTTCCTCATTCCCTTTGCCTTGCCCCCTCTCTTCCTATTTTCAGGTCTCGGCTGAAGACCTTTTTTTCCAACGCCTTCCTCCCCCTCCCCCTGGCTCAGCCCCAGGTTGCGTTACTGTGAAGCACTCTGAGACGTCCGGAGTGGAGGGCACTAAATAAATCCAAGTCGTTATTGTGTAATGTGGCTTACAGATAAGATAGGTTTAGAGTTAGGGCATTCATGAAATAATGGGGGAGGACAGAGAGAGAGAGAGAGACTCTGCCTCTATCCTAGAATAGATCAGACACTTAATTATAATAACTGCACTTTCAGCTCCTGTCAAGCTAATCTTTATACACCACCGCTCTTTTAATTTTTCTGCCTTTTCCTAGAAGCGTTTATTCATGCTGGGATATGGTTTATGGGTACTGGAAGTCAGCCAAAAGCCTGATCTTTGTGAGAGCCTGGGAAGTGAACATCAGTAAGCTTATTTCAACTCAGTGGGGCATCACAGCTCAACCTGATTTCATCCTCATCTGACATTCACATGTTTCAGTAAAGGATATTAGATTGTGATCAGGAATAGATACCAGACTGAGCTTTTCCATGCTCGATTTCTGGTCTAGGGATGCTGTCGAGTACCTTTTTGCAGCTTTCAAACTCATACCACTGCACTTTTTCCTGTTCTTTTTAAAGCAGCAAATAACCAGCTATTATTCCATTCTGGTGTGGCAACCATTTAGTTTAATTAAGCCTGCAGCATGCCAATCATACATGGTGTGGATGCACTACCTCGCTGGAGAGATGCCAAGTGTATAACCCATACCCCTGTCAAATAAAGGGATCTCTTGGGCAATGCTTGATGTCAGCATATTTGCCATTTATAGAATTCATTAAAGTGAAAGTGCTTTTTTTGTCCCAGAAACATCAGAGAACTGATCAGCTTTTTTTTGCAGATTACCATAAAATGAAAACAGTGGTGCTTTAGATTCCTCCCTGTCGTGCGCCTCAGGCTGCTTGAGAAGTGGTTCTGTTTGAACCAGTTCTGAAGAATTCTGCAATATAAACAGAGCACTGGTGTACAGTTTTATATCCTCTTGTAGTTCAAAGTTGACCTTTCCAATTATGCAATGCTTCCTATCTTGTCATCAAGTAGCTTATTTAACTTTAATCTAGTGGAAAATACATCTAAACCTTCGTTGTTTTGATTTGGACATCCGGTCGATTCATGTAGAAACCCAGCATCGTGTGCAGATTATCCAAAACAGACTGGTTGAGACCACCTTTGCTTATAGTTTGGTTATTCATGCTGAAGTCACATCCCGTGCATTGTGTGTTATACATGCTGTGCTAGGAGGCTTTGTGATGTACTTCCTGTGTACCAAATATGCCCAGAAAGAGCCGATGATGACGGAAGGAACATCGGCAGTATTCCTTACTTATTGTGCCTATGCAAAACTCTGGCCTTCTGCATGTCCCTCATGCCCTCTTTTCCACCATTGGTGGCCGCATTTTCAGCCACTACGCCCTGAAACTCTGGAACACCCTTCCTCTATCACTCCGCCTTGCCCCTTCCTTCCCCATTTTCAGGTTGCACCTGAAGACCTTCCGAATCGATCGTACTTATGGTCACCTCCCCCTCCCCCCAGCTCAGAATCGTGCTCCACCACTGTCTAGCGCGCTGGAACCCACCCTCTGTGAAGGGTGCTATATAAATGCAACTTTTTGTTGTTATGTGCAGCATGCAGGACATGACCTCAATGTTTTCCTCCGCACAGTGTAGAACACACAGCAAGTGACGTTGGTGGTGACAGGACGGTGGATATATTTTTTTCGCAGGCCAGTTCTAAAGCTGTCTAACTAATTTGGATCTGAAGCAGGCCTTGTAATGGGTTTGCAGGCTGTTTTTAATATAAAGAGAAAAGGGAGTTGTTACACGTAATAGGTTAGGATCTGGGTTAGGGTTCAAACCAGCCCTGACTGATGACACAGTTCCCAGCGGCTTGGGCCCACAGCATAAAACTGCACCAAACTGTCAGTATCACTCAAACAGAGTGGGAAGGGGGAAATATATAGTTTTGTTGGATGTGCATCTCTGAGACTAGCTGGTAACATTTTGAGGCTAATGGAGGGTGCACTCTTGAGTGTTCAGTGTTCAGTTTCCCAGCACTAACACTACTCCATCTTCAAGATGGAGAATAGTAGTCACCCAAAAATAAGTAATGTGATGAAAGGTGCACCGTATGATATAATATTAACAGCACAAAAGCAGGCCATTCAACCTGCATCATGTCGGTTCTGTTTTTCTTTGTCCCCACCTGATGTAATCTCACTCTCCTGCTTGTTCCCCATACCTTTTAAATATCTTTATCTCCCATCTTTCAAATGAATTCATGGATTCAATTTGCATTCATTTAGATTATTGCCCACAAGCTCATTTGTGTTCGGTCAATCTAATAATAGAATATAATAATAATCCTTGCATTTGATATAGGGTCTGATCATGTTGTTGAGACGTCTCAACGCGCTTCACAGAATTGAGAGACTATTCCACTCATTGACTTTCCCACATCAGCCCCACACTCCTCAAGACATTGAATTGTCATCTGAATGTAATTTTGTTCAACATCTCTTTCAGATGGAAGTATGAATTTGGCAACCACTGAATGAGGGAGTAATTGCATGTTGCCATGACAACCAGCCGTTGCAGTCACCTGCCTGAGGTTCTTCCAGACTGCACCAACTTGGTTCCTCCAGTAAAAACAGTGGAAGATTCTGCCGGCAGTGTGAATGGGCAGCCGCAGTATGTGATGCAAGTTTCAGCCAAAGACGGGCAGCTGTTGTCGACAACGGTAGTTAGGACGCTCAACACCCACAGGTATGATAATAATAATCCTTGCATTTGATGTAGTGCCTTATCAAGTCTTAGAGTCATCTCAAAGCGCTTCACAGAATATACTGTAACTTGTATTTTTATGTTTTTTTGTGGACAATTCGCGGCAGCCAATTGTGCACAGCAGTGTTCCACAAACACTCATGGATTGAGTGACAATATTATTATTAGTAGTTTTTATATTTTTTGGAAGGGATTATTACCTCCAGAAAAGCGATCTGACAGTTGACTAACAACCAGGTTCCTACTTGCTGCTAGGTAAACAGAAGCGTGTGGAGTAAGGAAACTTGCCTAATATTTTGCCCTCCCCGGGAATCAAACCCAGGTCCTCCCGCATGCGAGGCGAGTGCTCTAACCACTGAGCTACACAACTCTACAAGAGAATGTGACTTGGATAATTTTGTCAGCGTTTAGCAAAGGGGGAGGGAGGAGGAAAGAAAAGCTTTGGATATGCTTAGAATTGATCCAAATGGAAAATAGATTTTTATTTAGCAGTTTAATCCTTTTAATCTTTACTGCTGTATTCAGATTACAGGATTTTGTGATTTCTAACCTAAATCAGTTGTAAACTATGACACATTTCGGAAGTGGATATAAATAAATCTGCGGACAGGGAATAGACGAAGATCTAGTGCGCAGTAAATCTGTGCTTACATTAGACAACTGTCAATAATTTTGAGAATGCAGTTTTCATTTCACTGTTTAAAAGAAACCCATATTTGCGTATTGAGTTTGTTTTATGATGAAAGTAGTGTATTTGAACATAAGAATTAGGAGCAGGAGTAGGCCATTCAGCCCCTCGAGCCTGCCCCCCTGTATTTGGTGCATTTTTTTATAATGGGATCTTTACACACATTAGATTTTTAAAGATGGATCTGAATAATCACTTAACTGCGCCTCAATGATTGCTGCAAGTTGCACAGGGATAATGTGGTACTTACAAACATAATATAAATGAACCGTGACGCTGTGGAATGTAGATGAATGGAAAGGATAGACACTGGAGGATAGTTAACATATTAGGCTGCAAGTATTGAACAATCCTCTCAAGATAAATTACTTCCTGTGGTAATGGATATGATCCAGATCAGGCAAGAATGTGGAAATTGTGTCTACCTTTTTACAGTTTTGTAATTGTAAGCCAGTTAGCATTGGTGTTTTGAACTAAACAGTATTAAAATAACTTTTAAAGAGGCACTGTTTATTTGAAAAAGTGTTTGCCAAACATTTTTTTTAGGAATGTCAGGGCATTTGTGCACGTAATTTTGAAACACAGCTTTGGACTGCCTGCCTGTAGTGGCGTTCTGATGAAAATGAAATGTTTCAGCCACCCAATTTCTGAAAAAAAAATCATCCTATGCTTCTATTGCTCCTAACTCTTCAGTACATGTCTGCCTATTCAAAACATCACCCCCTTCTCAAAAAGCCCTCATAAAAAAAACTCTCTTGTCAGCCTGGCTCAGTCGGTAGTGCACTCAGTTCTGAGTCAGAAGGTTAATAATAATAATAATCCTTGCATTTGATATAGCGCTTTTCACATCAAGAGGACGTCCCAAAGCGCTTCACAGAATACACTGTAAAGTGAATTGACTGTATATTTGTGGGCGAACGCGGCAGCCAATTGCGCACAGCAATGGTCCCACAAACAGTCGTAGATTGAAAATGACCAATTTTATTACTGTTTTGTTTTTGGAGGGATTATTATTAGGTGTGTGGAGTAAGGAAACTTGCCCAAGGTTTCGCCCTGCCTGGAATTGAACTCAGGTCTCTCGCTTGCAAAGCGAGCGCTCTAACCACTGAGCTACAGGACTCAGGTTGTGGCTTAAAGCCCCACATGGGGACTTGGAACTCACATAATAATAAAAAATAATAATCCTTGCATTTGATACAGCTCTTTTCACATTTTCTAGATGTCTCAAAGCGCTTCAGAGAATATACTGTAAAGTTAATTGACTATATTTGTGGACAAAACGTGGCAGCCAATTGTGCACAGCAGTGCCCCCAAACAGTCGTGGATTGAAGTGACCAATTTAGTATTTTTTTTCTTGAGGGATTATTATCAGGTGTGTGGAGCAAGGAAACTTGCCCAGGGTTTGCCCTGCCGAGAATCAAATCCAGGTCTCTCGCTTGCGAGGTGAGTGCTCTAACCACGAGCTACGTAGTCTATGCAGACCCTCCAATGCAGTGCTGGGGTAATGTTGCATTGTTGTAGGTGCCATTCTTCGGATGAGATTGTAAACTGAGATCCAGTCTGCCTACCTGTCTGCACTATTCAAAAAGAGATGAGAGTTTATCCCATGTCCAGGCCAACAGTCCCTCAAGTAAGATTGGTCACTCAATACATTGTTGTTTGTGGAACGTTGCTGTGGCTGCTGCATTCACCTACAAAATACAGTCATTCCACTTTACAGTGTATCCTGTGAAGATCTTTATTTAATTATTGTAATGTTGCCTTTTTTAGAAATGCAGAGATGTATTTGACAAAATATTTTGCTCGTGTGAGGAATCTACCATTGTTCTAATAAAACTTTGTTCTCCAGTCTATAACTCAGGATACATCTGTCACAGATTTCCTGAGTCATTTGTTAAAATGCAAATGCTAACTTCTGGAACACAAATTTATTTATTGCCTCTACGATTTATTATTCCTCTTTGTATCAGACTGGAATGCATATTTTGCTTGTTTGTTCAGTGTGTCGAGATATATTTTACGGTACATAAGTGACTTGTTTACTAAATTGGTAACTGAGTTGTTACATGAAGCATGGAAATTGGTTACTTCCTGAACAAAAAATTAATTTTACTAGTTAGATGTGTCAGATATTAATGCGTTGCTCATGTGATTCTATTAGATTATTATTTTAAAAATTCATTCTCCCACCCCCTTGAGGGGGAAAACTTAAACATTTCTCGGATAAATTCTGGACCCTTGATTTTCCTGTTAGGTTGTGAGTATCAGGATACCAAAAATTATTTCGCAATTCCTTTTTTTTTAAAAAATGGCAAGACCGTAGTGCCCCAATACCCACAAAACACCTTTCTTCAAGAAAATGTCAGCCTAGCTTAGTTGGTAGAATTCTTGCCTCTGAGTCAGAAGGTTATAGGTTCATGATCCATATTGGGACTTTGGGCTCACCTGTCTAGGCTAACACTCCAATGTAGTGCTGCATTGTTAGAGGTGCCGTCCTTTAGATGAGATGATAAACCAAGGTCCCATCTGTCTTTTCAGGTGGACTTTAATGATGAAAAGAGAAGGGGGGTTCTCCTGGCATCATGGCCAGCAATTCCCCAGACAATTTGATTATTCACTTCAAGGCTGTTTGTGACACATTGCTCTGTGCAAATTGACTGCCACATTCGCCTACAAAAATAGTAATTACACTGTACAGTAAAATCTGTGAAGTGCTTTGAGATGACTGTATTGTGTCAAATTGCAAGGAATATTAGAGAAATCCCTAATTTTCTCTCAGCACTCACACTACTTATTGCTTTTAATAAACATAATTTTGTGAATTCCCGAGGATAACCCTGCAATCCAAGGCCCTAATGGGTGGACTGGTCATACCTGGACAAGCAGCAGGTTTCCTGAGAAGAAAATATTGCTTTAATATCTTGTGTATAGATGAGCTTCTTCTTCTTCACTTCCCACATCAATTAATCTAAAACTACAATGTCCAATTTTAACACATAATGCAAGTATTTAATTGACTTCACCATGCTATTTTTTTAATGGAATTTGTGAAATCATCTTAGCAGTCCTGGTGTTTTGTGTGACTTTGAAATAAATAATTCAGAAGAAAAAATCAATGATTTTAAATTTCCTTCAAATTTCACATCAATAAATGAGCCTCTTTCTTTTACAGCACAATCAATGACCGTCCTATATGCAGGATCTGCCATGAAGGCAGCAGTCAGGAAGATCTGCTTTCCCCTTGTGAATGTACAGGAACCCTCGGGACTATTCATAGAAGCTGCCTGGAGCACTGGCTTTCTTCCTCGAACACCAGTTACTGTGAACTCTGCCACTTCAAGTTTTCAGTCGAGCGCAAACCTAGACCATTAATAGAGGTCAGTAACTCAAGCATGTCCAGAGAAACCAGTGTTAAAAATGTCTTGAGTTGTACATAGTGAATGGTCTGTGTAAAACCTTTTGTTAAAATTGCATTCAGCTTCAGACAGTGGTTTGCTTTACTTCTCTAGTTTTCCACCTGTTCCTCCTGCTTGTCATTTGAGGTGGAAATAAGTCAGTATTATTTTTTTTTGTCTAGAAGCAAATTCAAAATATGATCATTATCACCATTATGGTCATTCATTAGCATTGAAATATAGGTTTTGTAACAATTTCTACAGAGGACCAATTCCGGACTTATAAAGCATCAAAATGTTGCTTTCTAAATAACTGTGGTTTCTTAACCATAGTAATTGCTACTAATTTCAGTACAAAGCTATAACAGTGAGACATTTAATGTGACTCATGTTAAACTGGGTGATCCTTGCTGCTTCCAGCCTCAACTCCAGGGCCATTGCTGTTCTGACAGACATCGAGTTCTGGATCTGTTTTACCTTTCTCTAATTTAACATAAAAACATTGAGGCTATCCTCCTCTCCTCAGGTGTTGATCATATCAACCCCTCTAGTTGCTCATTCCAGCTCATGGAATATCAACAATTTGTTCAACACATGACTACTTTGAATTTTTTATTTGGCTATGACCAAATATGATTTTCTCCAACTGCGACATCGCCCGTCTTATTATTTCTCCAGCATTCAGGTGAAACACTCATCCCACCTCTAAACTTGTCAAAAGCCTTGTAGCTCTACAGTCTATATTCACTCCCATACTAACTCTGGAGCCCATCACCTCCCATCTTTTTCTGGCTCCTCCCCCAGTGGAACATGTGTAAGATTCTCACCCTTGCCCCCAAGGCCTTGCCCCTTCTCCAATTCTGCAACCCTCCTACAACCTACAACCTACAACCCTCCTGCCCCTGTCCACTCACTCCCTCCTCCACTCCACCAACTCTAGCCTGCTTCATGCTCCCTGCCTCCTTTGCTCACCATCAGCGGGCAAGCTTTAAGCTATTGTCCAGGATTACTGGTATATAAAACTAAATCCAAGTCGCCATTGTACCATAGATGTTACCTTCCCATCTTGTATAGCTACAGTTTTTAAGACTTTTTTTTATAGGTTGGGGAACAAATGATAGTTTTACTAATGACTTAGGTCAGTTATGTTCTGAATTTTGCTATTTGGATTACTTTAGAGCACAGATGTGTTTACATCATAAGACAAGACAGAATGTTGCAAAATTGATGATTTAAATGCTGTTAACACAGCCATTCCTAATGCACACATGGAATGTGACAGTTGTGTTTGGGAGTCATCATAATTTACCAAGTTGGAAGTGGAAACTTGGTTCGAGCAGAGAGGATAGTGTCAGTTGTTTGATCATTTCACTGAAATGGATCTTCTGTTTGACAGCAAGCTATAAAGCCACCACTCTGCTTCAGTTACCGAAACAGTCTATAAGGAGAAACACAATGAGCAAAGTAAAATGAGAAACAGGTGGTTGTAACGTACACTTAGAAATGATTGTGGCTTTGATGTCTCTACTCTCTGGAATAAGCGGTTAGGCATGTGCCCTTTCCCTCTGTCTGGCTTCTTGTTATCATTTATGGATGATTCACTCCCATTGTCCTCCTGTTCATCTTAGTTGTGTCTATGTTTTGATTGCCTGCCTTCCCTGTATCCTTCCTGCTGACTGATTGTGTGAAATGTGAGACACATTTAACAAGGAGAATACTTAAATAAGATGCTCCGCATTTGAAATTTTAGGATATTCCAGGCATATAAGAACCCTTAAACCATAACTGTTGCTGTTAGCTCTACAGCAAGAAAATTCTAGTCCTTTTAGATATTCCACTTCTAAAAAAAATAAAGTGAAAACAATTACGTGTTAAGCTTAAACTGCTCCATCAGGTTACCCCTTCCTCTTTTGACTGGTGTACTGCTCATCCCTCACTTCCCCTGTCCCACCATTAATGGTTAAGTTGCACTTCCAACCCCACCCCCTCCCCCAGGCTCTCTGGAACTCTCTCCCAAAAGCCCCTTTACCTTTCTCTTTTTCTTCTGCCTTCAAAATCCTCTAAGTCAAAACTTTTGAATTCACCCTCCTTTTGCACGCACCTCGGGCTTCCCCAAAGTATCTCTGAAGCATTTCAAACCATTCATGAAGAGAGCGATACAAGTGCAAGTTGTCAGCTGCAGGGCCAGAAGCATTTTGTTTCTCGGACTCTGAATAGAGCAGTGCAGCTATTAAGGGAAATTGCTCCACTTCAAAACTTCAGTTTACTCCTGAATTGTTGCTGCCTGTCCTGGATCCAGTCTTGCTGGACGGTTAATAAATCTATCTTGTTTCATATTGTTTTAAGAGCTTGAGCTAGTTGGCTTCACTTCTCTTTTCTCAAGTAGATTTTGAGTGATTTGATGTACTTCTCAGCTTCATAATTTTATAAACTTTCTACACAGTTTCGGTTCCTAAAATAGATCAGCAATTAATATTGTATATGAATTTCAAAGAAATGGCTAATTTCTCCATGCCATAATTCAAGGTTCAATTATATGTTTATATTATTCAGTTATATAATTCACTATTTGGGTTATATTTCATTTATATTCAGTTAATTTCAGTTTTTTTAATTCAGTATTTGTTCGTCTGCCTCCAACTATCCATGAAAGTTCCAATACACCTTTTTAACCTCCAGGTGTGCTTTCACTTATCACACCCTTGGATACATTCCCGCATGTATTTTTATTTAGATATGTGTGTGTATATATACATATATAATATAAAAATGTTTTATTTACTGGCTCGTCATGTATGAATTAACTGTGGAAACATTGATGCACTTGGTCTATTCAGTTTTGTTGTACAGCAACTTTTTNAAAAAAAAGTATGGCTTAAAGGGAAAGAGGACTCTTACCAATTAGGCTTGCTTTATCTGAAATGGAGGAGAGAGAAAGAGAAATGATGAACATTTTTAAAAAAAACTTTTTTTAAATAAAGGTAGTCTTAAATTCTGGTGTTGAGAGTTTGGGATTCTTAATGACACAACTCATTTAGATGATTTTAACGAAGATGGGAGGTTTATTAATTAATCCCTCTTTCAAAATTAAACTTGTTTCAAAAATATTTTTGAAATTACAGGAAACAAGGAGGATATTTGATGTACTGATTCAATACTGTATTGGTTCCTGAACTGAAGCTTTGAATTCCAAATCCTAATTCCCTACCCTTCCACCATAATTTGTTTCTTTGGTTCGCTTCAAATACTTATTTTATTGCCCTTTAGAAGTTCTAATTCTCTTTTAAATGTTGTGATAACATATTCTGCATTCTAATAACTCTCTGCGTGATGATAAAAGTTAACCCTCCAGTAATGATCTGAACTTATGCCTCCCTTATTAGTAGCATTGCATTCTCTACTTTTTGTTTCCTGATGTTTTATTTTAACTTTATGCTTCTGTTTTGGCACTCAAATTTTTTTTTTAAAAAAGATACTAAACCAGAAGCAGTACTTTTGTAGCAGTACAAATTGTAAGACTTGATAAGATCCTGTTTTAATTTTGTGTGTTTTTTTGTGCATATTTAACATTTATTCAGTGTGGTTTGCATATATAAAAGTTCTCATGTTTTGGGGCCGTTATTTAATTTTTTGAGCCCCACTTTCCAGGAAGTGGTTTTGGAACAGAAGCAACGTTGTTTGATGAAATATAAATAGGATGGATTTTTATCTTTTATTTTCAATGGATAAAGTCTATTTAATTTAATGTTTCTTTTATTCTTTTATTGAGTTCTCGCCTACAAAAACAACCAGTGTTTTTTGTGCATGCACATCACACAGGAAGTGACATCCATAGCAACCTGTCGACTTGGATGTTGGCCAAGTTTGTCGTCTAAAAATTGAATTTTCAGCAATATTTTTTATGTTGTATTGCAGAACTTCGCCAAACCTGACAAATATTAGTATTTACAAATAATTTGTGATTTCTACCAACCCTAAATATAAATTCACTGCAGACAAAATTTCAAAAGAACTTTTAGCCTTGAACTAGTTGTAAAAGGAATTACTTAAGAGATTTTTTTTAATGTTCTTAGAGAGTTGGCTCATTAGTAACATCAAACAACTCAGCTCTTTCATAAGAGTAGTCAGAATTATCTGAATTCTGCTTATCATAGAATCGTACAGCACAATAAGAGGTCATTCGGCCCATCGAGTCTGTGCGGCTCTTTGTGCAACGTAATGTCAATCCCGCTCCCCAGCCCTTTCCCTATAACCCTGCAAACCCGTCCTCCTCAAATACCCGTCCACCGCATTTTTAAAAGTAGTTATCGAATCGGCTTCCACCATCCTTTCAGGCAATGTGTTCCAGATTTGAACAACTCGCTGCATGAAAAAATTTCTTCTCACCTCCCCTCTGCTTCTTTTAGAAACTATTTTGAATCTGTGACCTCGAGTCACCGACATACCCACCAGTGGAAACAGTTTTTCCCTTTCTAACCTATCAATCCCCTTATGATTTTGAAGACCTCTATTAGGTCTCCTCATAACCTTCTCTGCTCCAATGAGGATAATCCCAGCCTCACTAGCCTTTCCTCATGATCAAGGTCCCTCATTCCTGGTACCATCCTTGTAAATTTCCTCTGCACTCTTTCCAATGCCTTAACATCCTTCCTATAGTGTGGTGCCCAGAACTGGGCGCAATATTCTAACTGAGGCCTAACCAATGTTTTATATAGGTTAATCCTAACCTCCTGACTCTTGTACTCTACGCCCCTATTTATAAAGCCTAGTATCCCACATGCCCTTTTTACAGCTTTATCTACCTGTCCTGACACCTTCAATGATTCATTTACCTGAACCCGTAGGTTTCTCTGTTCCTTCATCCCCCTTAATAATAATAATAATCTTTGCATTTGATATAGCGCATTTCATGTCAGGAGGACGTCCCAAAGCGCTTCACAGAACACACTGTAAAGTGAATTGACTGTATATTTGTGGGCGAA